CCTCAAAAGTCGGGCAGATGCGTCGATTCTGCGACCCGTCTCGGCATTCTCCGGTCGGGAGGCGGGCCGAATTGCCCCAGTTGCTGCGGGCGCCGCCGAGGCCGAGGCCGAGGCCGTCGGTGGCGCGTTGACCCGAGCCATGCCTCTGCCGAGCTGGTCTGGCATGGGCAGTCGGTCCAGACCTGTCGACTTGACGGACAATTCTAACGCCGCCGAGGCTTCGCGTTCGGTTTTCATGGAGTGCGTCACAACATGTGCTTCGTTCGGCAAAGGCATCCTCTGGTCCTCGCAGAACGCTGTAAGCTCGGTCCCACATGGCCATTTGTTCCGTTTTTCCACGAGGGATACACGCTTTTCTCCTTTCATTCATACTCGTCACTCGGTCCCGTGCAGAGGCTGACCACTAACAAGTTGGAAAAGTAAAGCAAGTCCTGACCCATCTGTCCAAAGAACCTTGTTGTCGTCACTTACGTTTCATGTGAAGGCACTTCATGGCACATCCACTCTAGTCAAAGTGTTCGCGTCAATTCGCGCACCTTGTCACTTTTTATTACGAGCATGTAGACGAGAATCAATTTAAAAGCCTTGAATAATAACTTAGTCAGCCTAGTTCGCATAAGGTGATTTGTGAAACGATACCTCAAAGTACAACGACAAAGATGATGTGGCCTTTATTTTAGTCGCGGTCTACTTTCATTGCATAGAAATGTTTTAACTCTGATAGTGAAAAACCAACTTGTCGTAGTCTCTTTTTTTGTCGCAGTCTCCCCTTGATGCATAGAAGTGGTTCGAGCTCTTTTTTGCAACTTTTCTTGTTGTCAGGGCGACTGTTGGATGCATCTTGTTCGAAGTGCTTAGCTTAGGAATTATTATAATACCTAAATTGACTAGAAATTCGCACCAGAGGCAGCAGCCGACCAGAGATGGATGCGCGCAGTTTGCTCAAGGTACATATGCTGAAGTAAGGAGATGACCCGTGAAGGCAATGCTTAATATTTTCAAGCATGGGAATCATAGCCTAGGCAATCAGCCTGGTGATGCGACAGTGTACGCACCTCTAAAGGCTTGTGAAATAGCGTCTGACATAAAACGAATGCTTTTATTGGAGTCGAGTGAAAAGTGTCAACTTGAAAGATAAAAAAGGGATCTACCGGCTCATGAGGGAGATTCAGATGGGAGGTTCCAGTTGGATCAACAAATCGTGAGGAATAGGGGCAAAATAAGCAGCAGGTATGATGGCGCAATACTAATCTCGTCAAAAGGTCACATCTACTGAGGAGTGGAATATACACAAGTCAGAAGTTGTGATAAGGCGATAGTGCGATAGGAGAGTATGGAATAGATAGATAGACCGGGACAGAAAGAGGAGGGATAGCACAACGGTTCGACAGAAAGTAGGTCAAAGGATTAGCTTCACTTGTCTCTGTTGCGTTGTAGCTTGTTACTGAGAGTGGCAAGACCCACTTACGATGCCGGAAAAACGTCAGGGAATGTGCCAAGTCCACGGTGTGACACTGGGAATTATGATAACTACTATGACAGAAGACTTCGGACAAGGTGAGTTCGACAAAGTCGCCCTGACAACACGACCAAGTTGGTTTAACTTTCTTGTGATTGTAATATGCGAAGGTTAATTGATTTTTAAAGAATTTTTTGTTTTTCCATTATTGTGGACAAGGATGTACTTAGGAAACAAACACATACTGACTTTATCCTTAACATTTTCTCCAACCATCATTATAAAACGAAGATTGGGATTTTAAT